TCTCATGTACTTTGCAACTCTTACAATTTTCGTTGCTCACAAGCCATTGCAGTGTGGTAACCGTAATCTATACTAATTTTTTGGTCTCCTCTTGTGTAAACTTGATTAAACATCCTCTTAATGTACTACACGTAGATCTAGGGCTAGATTCTTAATACTTTTAACTAAGGTTTGATTAAAGCCTATCCAAAATTGTGCATCAATACAGTTCTTTTAAAGAACTAACTTGGAGATGACCTACTTCTGCCCTATTGCTCAGGGACATAATGTATCGGAGCCTATCCAATTAGCTCCTATCGCGATTGCAATGTCGAGTCTTCTACTAAATCGGATGTCACTGGCTCATTTTGAAAGCGAAATTGTCCGAAATTTAATCTCTCTAGCTGTCTCCCTTTCCTTCCACCGCTGTGAAACTCGCAATTTCGTTTCGTCTTAAAATTAATTTGTTGGTGTTGTGCTATTTTCGTTCTATGATTGAACTTACATTTGAAAATATGCTTGTGGTTTCACAAGTCATTCTTGAAAAGACAACCATTCCAAAGCTGTCATAAATCACCTTGTCCATTTGTACTGGTGACGATGGTACACCTTCAAAATGGCACTCTGTGCCTTTTGAGCATACTAAGCTTCCAAGTAAAGATAGTACTAACAACAGGAAATTACATTAATTTCTTCTTTCCCAAAGACTTCCTCGATTTCAATCCCAGTCGCCGCTTCTACAAATCACCAAATCAAAGCATCTCCTTCAGCGATCTCAACGAATTTAGCTGTCACGGTGTCGCCTTGCGCACCAACTCTATGGTGAGGGATGATATGTCCACCACTTTCACATCCATGTCTACCACGTCAAGGGGGTCAGGTCGCCTTCGGTTCCGCCGTCACCCAACACCCGCGTCTTCCGTGGAAACGACAAAGACGGTGGAGGAGGATTTGGACTTCTCCAAGTGGCGCATCTCTATCCCCTCTTATACTTCTGCCAGTCGCTCCTCCGCTTCCTCGGTAGGCAGAGGCGGGGGTGGTTTAAAAATCCCCGCAGCCGCAACAGCCGCGACAACCCCGTTGATGTTGATGATGATGAACCTGGAACAACCTGATTTTTCACTCCTCTTCGCGGTCCCCAGTCATGGCTACTACACGGTGATTACGGAGCGCGAAGTCAATGGCAAGAAGGTCTCTAGCAGGATCCGTAGGTAAGTACTGAATGCCAGGAATTTGTGGAGTTCGTTTGACTACTAGAGCTGTCTTTGACTTTGTGTGTTGGGTTCACTTCTGTGAATAGGAAAGTGGTGGATAATGTGGAACAGCTTTATTAAAACGTCCAGCTTGCAGATATTACCATTTCTTTTAAGATTTGCGGCATTTATTCTTCTTTATGATCGAGGTCTAATCTTTTGGGCCAGCATTTACGAAATGTTAATTCCTGCGTGTATTTCATAGTACTTTATATATCGAAAATTCATCGCAAATATGCTGATACCCCGGAGTGTACACTTGACTTTCTACAATTTTTGTAATGTTATGCCCATTTTTTCATTCATTAGCTTAATTTTAGGTGTTGGAACGAAACTTTGCAGATCATAAACTGTAGGGCACTTTTGGTCTTCGCTATTTCGCTGGGATAAAGTTTCCAGTTATTTGTTTTTCACATCAGGGCTTATTTATCAGTGCTTGGCAACTTATTAATAAATACGAATATTTATCTTGCAGTTTAAGCGGTCGATGATTCCAGAATAGCCTGTTTTTTCTGTTGATTAGCTTAAAGGACTTCGATTATAAATATGAAATCATCGTTACATTCCAGTTGGAAATCGGTAAGTAGTTCTTCCTAGTAGAATTGACGCTATTGCTTTAGCTTTTTTAAAACAGAAAATTCTAGTTGATTGTTTCTAAATTGTTCTTTGATTCTCTGGTAGGTCAAAATCATGACTTTTTGTCGCCCACTTCAGGAATTTTGCAGAAGTTTAAACCGTCTTACTGTAATTAGGAAATTTTCATCGTTTCATTGCGAGTTTCAGGTAAGAAGAAAGCAAAGTTAGTTTATTTTCAGTAATTGCAGTAGTACGAATCGTTTGTAGGCATTCCTTCAAGTTTGTCCAGTTGCTTCACGCTCTCATCGTTGTTAAAGTGGTTACAGTTAAAAGCATAAACTAAACTTAGCTCGAGGTGCAGAATGTAATTATTTCAAGTCATGCTAAAATCTATTGAACTCACGTCTATTTTTTTAATAAAAATCTTTAGTTCAAACAAGGATACAACTGTTTATCATCAGGCGACTGTTAAGAAAATACATTCCAGCCATACTTTTATTCACATTAGTACTGGCAATTACCACCCCATTGGAGTTGCCATGTTCCAATCTGTGGGCCTGCTTTTTCGCAAGTTAATAAAAAATTTGTCGCTATCTGTGTGTATGCGTACATTTGCCTTTGTTTTCCTCACGGATTATAGCTCAAATGTGACTGCTGGAGTTTATGAGCCAGACAATGGGGTACTTGAACGCTTGGCGTGTTCGCGAGAACACTCTTGGCTGAATGAACTGGAAGAGAGGGCCATTTTCCACTTAAATAAGTGCTTAGAATCCGCGATAGGTCATAATTTTATGCGGCTGGCAGTTTAGGGATGCTAGTTTTTACATTTCAGTCTCAAAAGTGTGGCGTTTTTTCTTCATGGTACATCTGAGGAAGCTTCGAAATACATGCGCCTTAGCTACGAAAAGGTAGATTGTATATCGGATAGTGTGTAGAACTGTGGCGAAAAATAAATGCAAGCAAAAGGCCATGTTCCCTGGCTAATATTTCCAGTCCTGTCGAATTAAAAAATGAGCCAAAATTTCATATACCTTGGTTCAAAGACTTGCATGGAA